ACCCGTTTCACCCTCGCCCCTTTGATCCCCTCGGCGGCACCGTTTTCCCTTCTTCCATCGTCGACGGTAACCGACCGTCGGCACCTTGACTCCCCTACCCTTTGCCAGAGCCACCCCCTAATTATCTTTCAGAAGTTTCATCCCCTAGCCGAGTTCCGGATCTTACTTTTACGATTCACTTTTCCTCGAGTCGAATGGGATGGAACGATGGGGGGGGGAGAGAATTCTAATCTTCCCTTTTTCATCCCCTTACGTCCCTCAAGGTAGCCCTGTCTCGTCGGCGCCATCTTGAATATGATCTGGCTACCCTCAACAATCGCTCTTGTTAAAAGCATCCCCTTCTTCATCCAAGAGACACGATGGGTACAGTATGCTTCAAAAATTATGCTACTCTCTCCGTCATACGACTCGTACATTGCCAATAAAATCATGCCCTTATTTCTGCACCCCCATTGTGCACGAGATTGTACATACTTTGCCGGTCTTTTTTCTCCCTAGATTTTTCATTTGACTCGTTTTTAAAGTAACGGTCTGTGATTGTGATAAGAAATGGTTAGGGGTGGGTGGTGGGGGGTAGTAATATTACAGGCTAGTACGAGGGGTTCGTTCCATCCGAGTCGGACAACCCTTGCGAATGTCATTAGGGCAAACGAGATTTTAGGATTACTCAATGATCCAGGGTTGTGACAGTGGTGGTATTAATGGTTCACGCATTTAAAACCTACCCCTTGCTCAAATAAGGGTAATTAAACGGACAATTTTTCATCAGTTACATCTCGGCCGGAGTCGTAAATTTTATCCCAAGGCCATCTTCAAGCCCTGCCAGTATTCACGGGAGCAACAGGAGCCCAAGACAACCAACCCCTAACCATCACGACGCACCGAGCATCCTTCAAACCCTAAATTAATATTGAATTATAACAGCGAACAGTTACGAGCGCCAGCGCTCTCCCCGAGCGCAGCGGAATTATTTTAAACTAATGCGTGCACCCCTCTCTCCCAGCAAACTTCGGCCTTCGAATACATTATTCAATTTCGATTTTCACCGTGAATTTTGATCAGACCACTCTGTCCCTAGTAGCTTCAACTACCCCGCAATGCTCATTCCCACCCTCCCTTAACTGCCGCACAAAGTCCTCGATATCCAATCAGCGGCCACGTTAAAGATTAACGATTTCCGATTGGTAATTGAAAAGAGTTTAATATGTTTTTCACTAACGCGAAATAGGGGATGAAGAGGAGCGCAGAATGAGCTACCTTTATTTTAACGAAATTTCATCTCAAATATTCATTACCTTTCTATATATATTTTGCCACCCTTTGCCAAGGGATGCTGAGCCGTAATCCAAATAGAGTGTGCATGCATCTATCCCGATCATTTTTATAGAAAATTATTTCCAAGAACCATTACAAAATAAAATATTTATTAAACTTCCACATGAAATCCTGCAATTCAATTCAAACCCTTAAGAGCATCAAATAGAAATTGAATGCGCCTGCCCAAGTGCAACCCGGTACGCGCGGCCTCGTATAACAGTTAAGCCGTATATGCCATGTAGTAAACTGCAAGGAAACATGAGCATAAGGCGTTTCAAAGTATACTGTGTACTTTAATGCTTACTTTCATATCCAGCTGTAGCTAAACTTGCGCGCATAGCCGGTTGCCCATCTTCAGGCGCTCTTGACTTTTTCTATGCTACCATATGGAAATACAATGTCGCAGCAACTGCGGTGAAACGGCTCGTGAAAATTTCGTAATTTTACGGTATACTTTGACACGCCACTGGTACCACAGGTTTGACGCTAGATGGCGACGGTATTTGTCAATTTATCAAATGATGTATTCACCGTATATAACGCTCTATATGCGTGCATTGACATGGGCTGCAATGATTTATTAGGACTCTATAAGTGCCAATACGATGAGAGTTATTTAAGGGCTCTTTAGTACAGGGATTAAACGGCAGATGGCGATACTGTTTGTTGGCACATAAAAGGACTTATTGCACGTTTATATATGCCGCTTATGTACGTCAATGGAAGTTTATCGAGTCCAGTTAAGCGTTAACAAGGAGTTATTCCTGCTGAAAGATGTTTTTTTTATCGATTATGGATTATCGTAACTCTGAACATATAAGATGACGGATACACTATAGCATACGCGTATACGGTCTGTTTTTATGACTGGAAGTATATTGTCAAAGATCAAGGATGATCAAGGAATTTAAACGATAATTCGATCTCTAACCTCTTTCGCAACCCCTATTCCTTGTAGTTTCCTTGTTTTTAGGGATTTCTTTTTTATTCGTACGTTAATGTACTACAATATTCGGTATTTCACGTAACGGTCGTAAACAGACTTAAAAAAAAAGTTTTGGTAACTCACGAACCTATGATTATTTATGAACTAACTACAGTTCGGGGGAATGAAAAACAATAAAGTTGTACGACGTTTCGCGTCTCTCGTATTGCTAGTCAAGGGTTGGCAAGCAGTGTATGACTTGGCAAACCGAGCTAGGACATACAAGTAACTTCGTGAGGAGTAAGGATTGCCAACCCCCGTTTGGATTATCGAGCGGATTCCTTTGGGGGTGGTTAAGGGAGGGATGGGATTCGGTGGGCGGTTGATGGTTGAAACGAGAGGGTTGCAGAGAGTGAGGGGTTGGTTTGTACGTTTAAGCTAACCACACCCCTTAATCGTGCACTTGACAAGAAATCTCGCGAGGGTGATTGACAACACTGGAATTTTGTGATTGCGACCAACCCTCAAAAATCATCCCCTTCATATGCGTAAATATCAACTCGCCCGTACTTTGTAATTCAAGGTTAACTCAGTCGAGTTTGATAGGGGTTAACAAAAAAAAAACTCCGTAAAATGCCCTAAAATTGCATCCCCTGCACGTAGGGACATTACAATAAATACAACCCTTAGTCCCGCGTCTATTCCCATCGGGGATTGAGTAGTTAAGTAAATAAGTAAAGGGGTGGATGGGGGTTGACTAGAAAAGTTGTAGGAGCGCGTTAGTTACCTGCAGGGGATGAAGTCAGGCTTTCTCGTTTGATCTAAAAAGGGACAGGGTTGGTTGACAAACGGAAAGAGAGGGTTGAAGAAAAGAAAAAGAAAGAAAAAAAAAAGAAAGAGCTCCAACTCCTAGAAAACTCCGTAATCGCGAGCTACGAGTTCTCTTTGGGAGCTGCAAAGGGCTTTGGTAGAAGGCTTAAGAGGAGTTAGGGGTGGCGAGTCAAAGGGGGGTGGAAAAAAAAAGGATGAGTGAGTCGGAATTGGCGACGACCCTAAATAAAGGTTTTCTACTACGAGCTCATCCTCTAGGGAACGGAGTCGGGGCAGTGCTAGAGGCTCTAGTCGGGACTGTATCCGGTGTGAGCATCCCCTAGACGGACCAGAGACTCGAGGGCGTAAGGGGGCGAAGGGGTTGGGCGAATGAACTTGTCCAGAACTCCCAAGAACCTTCTTTCAGCCAGCCACCAGTTTCATCCCCCTCGCGCGATAAACTCCGGTTTCCGGTTTCCGGCTGGCTTCTCGCGCTAGCTAACCCCTCTGCCCCTCCGCAGCTACCGTGAAACTATCCCTACTTTGCTACGGTGAAATTCCACCAGACACAGTGAAGCAGCGATTTCGGCTGTTGCCGTCTCTACTTCTATCCCTTGGACCAAGGAATTTGAGGGGGGGGGGG